TGATCATACATCAAAAATTCACTTTAACGTGCTGAAAAGTTGCGGAAATGAAGAGACAAAAGCGCGAGAGTGTAGACATCACATTTGATCCGAATGAGCAATAAAATTTTATGCTACACGCAGCAGTGTTCAATGGGCCTCCTTATGCGGTCGGTTCCTTTTACCTTTTTTTATTGAAGGACCCATTTGTTTCCTTTTGAATATGACCAATGCCGATTCAAAAGAATATATTCGATTCATGAGAGAATCAAAAAATGGGATGAAAAGAAGAAAACTGAAATCACTGAATAGAAAAGATCATTAATGAAAGTTTTATAACAAGTGACATCAATTTTGAATTATATTTCTCACAGAGGAATATTTTAATTTGTTTTCAATTAAAAATCCCATCAATTCAAGTTGAATAATTCGGTGCCGCCTCGTGTAATTAAAATTCTCCCACATACGACAAACATCATGCACTCAAGCAATCCGGAGAATGGTACGAGCAACTGCAAACTTACTTCAGTATTCAAACAATAATGAATGACACATTAATTGAAGCAAGAGTTGCTTACCAAGAGGAATATGATGAACGCTAATGAGCCACTGAACTGATGAACTCAAGATTCGTTATCATCTGTTGAGCTGATAACGAATCTTGAGTTCATTAGTTCAGTGAGTGCAGTGATGTGCTAACGTTGACGTTGACATTTGATAAGACATAAGATAACTCTGCTTTATGAAAACAATTTCTGCACAATACTTACACGAAGAGCAACAAACGCAGATATTACATTAATGCATAAAGTGACTTCATTTATCGAGAGATAAATGCATGCATGTAGTTTGTATCGGATGGAAATCTTCGCATGAAACATTTGATAAACGTCAACTAAGCTGAACTTTGGATACCAATGAAGAAGACTCTTCGAAAACGGCTTGGCGCTTTATATAGCAACAATTCAAAAGGAAGTGAAAACGTATTATCATAGACGCAGAACATTTTTACTTTTACACGATGAGCATTTACGCGACCATTAATTCTCATGATTCTCTCGTAGAAATTACTTTTTTTCATTCTCTCTATCCGTTGAATCACTGCTAAGCCATTTTTAATGCTACGTAATGGGGGATGAATTTTTTTGCGATGAGCATACTAATTCCGCTGATTTTCACTAGAAGTTTTAAAATGGCACGTGAACGAACAAGTACATATCATACTTACTTACTTAACAATCGCAATTGTGAACAGTCTTCCTTTTCAATTCGAATGCTGTAATTCGCGTTTGAGTGGCAACCATTAAAACCAGTTGAAACAAGCAACGCAGAAACAACAATCATCATAATAATGATAATAACATAACAACAACAACAAAAAATAATAATAACAACTTTGCAGAAAGATGGGAAGGAGAAATGACTCGTCATTGTCCAAGTATTCTTTTCTCTTTTGCATTCAAGCACTTGGATTGAAAATGAGATATCATGAGTTCAAAAGATTGAGATGATATGATGGAATGTGTTGGAATTAGTATTTTCGGATCGTCAAAGGAGCCATGCAAAGAAATAAGTCGTTTTCGTCAACAGTAACCGACGTGAAAATCAGAGAAGGATTACTGAAGGAAAGCAATCAAATAACTATCGTCGTGAGTTCAAAAAGTTCAAAAAATTTTCACACAAACGCTCGTATAAAACCAAAGTGNAAGTAGTTATTTTGGGTGTGAATTTTTGCATTCATTTAGAATATTGATAAAATCAGTGATGCGAGTGGTACCAACTAGACCATAAAACCACTCCATGCTGAATAAAGAGATAGATACTTGGATGGTCTGGAAAAACTTTGAAATTAGACTTTAATTGCTTTCAAACGTGTTCGAATAACAACTCAAAGTTAATTTGCAAAGCAAATTCAGATGTTCACTGCTATGAATACAGAGTACGCTAGAATAAGTAAAAATTGAGATACCTGGAAGCATCAATAAATTGTTCAGTGAATTGGAAACTGTGAACAAAATGAATTGAGAGAAATGGAGCAGAAAAAATGAAAAAAAGGGCGATGTGCTGAAGCAATTGGGCATGTTATGTGAGATGAATAGTTGGATCGGTGGTTGACTTGGATTGATATTTTGAGGAGTCTCCCTAAGAAATGCGATTATCGATTCGTTAACACCTAATCTGATTGTTTTTAAACCATTTTCAGATATATCCGCATTATTTTCAAACTATGAACCAGATTGCTACTAAATCTATCGATGATTATTTTACTGGTGAATTTCCTCACTCAACATCAGTCAAATAAACAACCTTATCATGTCAATCAGACAACTGTTATACGACTACATCATTTCTGCAACATTCCCATCGCGTTTTTACAGAAAGTACATGGCCATTACGAGAAACGTTTGAGGTTCTATTATGTACACATTCAATGCAGAACAATTATCTTCTGAACGCTCTAAAAAGTATTTTCAACTTTACAGATGCATTTTTTGCTTAAAAAAGATGATGTTTTTTGACGTATATCAAAATGGCATTTCAATTTACATTGTCACATGAAACAGTAATGGAAGTTTGAAGCGCAGCAGACCTCCTGAGGTGCAGTGTTAAATTGCTCGTAAATTGTTATTTCATGAGACACTCGAATGAATGAATGAAGAATGAATAAATTTGTTTCAATTCTCGTTCCGTGGTTGTGAGGGTGCTCGAAAAGAGCTGGAATTTTGCAGATATTATCTGAATCAGGTCATTGCAAGTGACAAGGTATGCGATGAGATAATTTTGAGAAGCGACTTTCTCATGCAATTAATCAATAACAAAGGTGATGAACAATGCTGAATCAAGAACCCGAACCTGTCTGACATTCAGTCTGAAACAACGAATGAATTTCATCGCAAGAATTTCTTTTACGTGGATCAAATTTCAACAATTGTATGTACCATGTTGCTAGGATATTATCTCCACATATCATCATTTCATCGCGAATTTCTCTACACCTCTTGTTGCTCTCTGAAACGAATAGCGTTTGAATCACTCAAAAGTAATGTTTTCGAGCAGATCTTCATGGAGGTGGATAAAGTAAACCGAAAGTAGGCACGGTAAAGTGTGAATAGCATGGATGGATACGACGAATGATGAATACAAGAGCACAGTCGTAACACAATGGTATGTATTTCCGCTGTGGATTCATACACCATAACCGTAGACATTTCATATCGTTTGATTCAACGTTAAGAAGATGTAAACTCGTCAAATCACAAGCAATTCATTATATGCACACCCAGCAATTATTCGGCTTATTCACAAAGGCCAATAAACATTATTCGATTATTTCACGTCATCGTCTTCCGACCACCTAAACCAAACTATTGCAACTTTTAAATCTGTTCCACTTACTCATTCGTTAGGGCTCAATTTCAATGAAACGGTATAATTTGAGAATAGATCCAATAATTTCCGTAATTTCTCAAAAACCATTTAAAGTAAGGTCATCTTCATTTATTATCGAACTGTTCTTTAGATTTATCCAACATGAAAGTGCGATTAATCCAAGCAGAAAACGACGTTCTAGAGGTCAGTTTAGTTTCGTCGAGGCGAACGTGTTGAAATGTTACCTCCGCTACCGTAAACAAATGTGTTGCCAAGTGAAATTTTCTTTTTCATGAATTATCAAAAATGATCTGCTGTTGTCAAAAAAAGGTCATTTTTAAGCTTGAGCTTGATCATATTTGTGATGGGTTAAAAAATGTTGTGACAAAGTGTGGTCACCTTATCATAGAGTGAAAACACATCCTCCAAAAGTTGTGGATTTAATTGTTCGCCTGAAATTCAAGAGACTGTGAAAAGACGGACGTGCTGCCATATCTGAACGTTCGATTTGTAGCAAGAGTGTGCAGTCATGTGTACGATCGAATTTGAGCATCTTGTTAAAGATCTTACTATCAGAAGTGTGTATATGCTTATATGTAGAGCAAAAATGCTTTATTTCGAGATTGTATGCATTGTTCGTCATACGATTGTAGATATTGGTTTCAGCATTCGCAAAGCAGCTTTACACTC